TTCACACTTTCATCCAGTGCTTCCCTCTCTTCGACTGACAACACATCTCTCTCATCCACCCATCCATCTATATCATCATCATCCTCATTGTTGTTGTCGCCATCACTTCCCGTGAGAGAATCTCTTCAAGCTCCAAGCTCATTGCCAGCTCTGCAAGTTCTTTCGCTGCCTCGTCCATGGCAATGTTTGCCTGTGCTTTTGGTAAGTCAAATTGGCATATGATGCTTTTTGCCGCTAAGTTGAGGATATGCGTGAAGCAGTGTGATCAGTTGGCAGCCCTGGGAAATTCGGTCAAGACCTTTGCCAGCTCAAAGATCATGGTATCGTTGTTCGAGGCATTGTCGCATACGATGCTGAGAATCTAGGTATTAATATTAAGGTAAGCCTCTTGTATTGCATTTGAAACTTCACAACCAATTACTACCTTGTCAGATATCCTGAAGTCGTCAAGGATGTTTGCAAAGGCAGCCGCGAGATTGATCCCAGAGTGCGACTGCGTGACTTCGACAAGATCAAGGAGCATCGAACCTGGCACCCCGGCATTCTTGAAATGGACTGTAATGGCCACATATGCCTTATGATTTGGAGAGGTCCATGTGTCTGTCCCAAAGTGGAGTGCACCATCATGTTTCTAATGTGAGTGAGTAATAAGTTGCCTCTCACTAAAACTATCTCTCACCTGTAGCATTGTTGCAATCCTCTGCTGGCTCTTCACAAAGACATGCTTGACATCACGTGAAACTGTGGCCGGCGATGGGATGTAGTACCCTGGCCGCCCGGTTTTCATCAGACTTTGAAACCCATGGTCTGCCACGATATTGAAGGGGCACATGCTCTCAGCCACCCAGCGGACGATCTCAGCTCTGTAAGTGGAAAAGCAGTTAAAGGCAATCTCTGATAGATCTGACAGAAACCTACTTAGATTCAGTTTTCATGTGTTGACGATGTGAGTACGAAACCTTTCCTGTCCCTTTTCCAAGTTGTTCAAACACTGCTGTTAATGAACCATCCTTTAACTCATTCTTTCCCAAGGCTGCTCGCGTTGCCTTGATATCCCTCATGGCATCAGCCACCTCGATCGTCTCTTCACCCCAACAAAGCTTAGCATGCTTACGCAGATTGCCTGTTGATATGGCATCTTGCTTGTCGAGGTACCAATTGACAAATCTCGCATTCTGTCCCTTTCCTTTGCAGGATTTCACCATGCACTCGAAGACATGAAGCCGTCACTCGTTGATATAGCTAATAGTTGGTGAAGGCTTGAAGAAGGCATACATTGGTGCATTCCAGTCCTTTTGAAGGTGTTCTAATAATAATTGGGCATTAGATTCTTCAAATAGTATATCACGTCTTACTTAGCTCTGCTTCTGCGCTCTCAGCGGGTGCCTCAGGCTTATCATCACCAGACTGATCATCATCGTCTGGGGGACTGTCAGAAGTGTTCTCACTGGCACTGGGCCCAGCCATCACAATATCCATGTCATCTTCATTGTTGTCTAACTCTACAATGTTTTTCGGGTTTTTGGGATGAACATGGTGAGATGCCTGGATGTCGTCCACATCGTCCACAACTTCAACTGATGCTCAGCGACTATTTTCTTGCCTGGGTTTGGCAAGAGCCTTCTTTGTTGGTTTTGTAGTCGAGATGCCATTCTTCTCTTTTGCGGCTACATGTGCCTTTTTTTTTGCGGCCGCTACTGCCAGCCATTCAGCTTCACCATTTAAGGGATCCACAGGTACCTGCTTTCTTTCCGAGGGCCTAAAGTGGAATCGGAAGAGGCTGTTTTCCCTGAGGAGACAGCGTGGGCAAGGGGAGCTGTCATAGTGGTGTGACCGTGTGTGTGAGCACTGGCTGCAACACCAGGTAGATTTTTTAATTACTATGTCCGGTGGATAACTACATATCCTGTTGCTATGTTTTTTAAGATTTGAATGAGCTGTCTATGACCATTCTGAGCTGCTTCCCGCCGAGATTGATGGCTGGCATTGTCATTGACCCGCCAAACCCACCTGATGGGTAGGAGTTGCTGAGGGTCATCGAAATGAGACCCTACCCATACCCACACCTACCTGTGACCTGTACCCACGTGGGTCTCGAAACCCGTGTCATTCACTATCTACGTGTTTGTCTTCTCAAAAAGCATTCGATCCATATAGTTGTCGTGTACCACAAATTGTGACTGTGAGTCGATAAGCATGTGGTGCTCACTTGGGTAGCAATATTGAGATGTTCTGCTTTTTACTACAGAATGTTCCACCTTCGTCGTTTCACTCTCGCAGGACTGTTAGTGAAACAGAAGCAGTCAATGATTGCATGTGGATTCCTTCACCAACAGAAGCTGACATGCACGAAAATCATGACACTGTAAATGAGAATCTGTCTGGCTTATTATCTGGTACAATTTTTTCAAAGATGAATGAAATTTGAGACTGAAAACCAATGAATAGAATCTCATGAGAGTAGTTATTAAAAAGTGAAGCAAGTTAGACTGGATAGTATTCCTTTAGTAGACATTACAAGGTCTATTAAACGCAACTACTTGATGGACTAGTAGTTCACACACACCCCACACTAAGCATCTTTACTGGTGGCCATTCTATTCCGGCCATTCCTATTGAGTATTCCGGTTGCAGCTCATTTTGGTCTGCATTCCTCCAGAATGAAATTTGCATTTTGGCTGGCCTCTCAGCCAAAATGACCCAAAAATTATTCCTCTGGAATGACCGGATTCTGCTGGATTCTGGTAGGAATCAGTGGAGGACAATAAAGACATCACTGTTTCTATCAACAATGATATCACCTAAAGTATGCATTCAATTTCTCATAATGCTCTAGAAATTCCTCTTTTCCTGTACTTCATCATTTTTATATTCTTTCCTATTTTTTCTGCTTTTTCTTCAAAATTTCTCTAAGTTCTTCTTTCTCTCACTATCTGTAAATCCCACATGCCAGTTTGACAATTGACTTAAATTCCACTACATAATAATTCCTTGAAACTTTTTTTTTGCTTTGCCCATATACCGAGACTAGGGGGCTGATGTTATAATATCATACATAGTATCTAAATAAAGTCCCTTTGTGATCTTAACATGTGCATGTACCCCAAGTAGTCTCATATATGGACTCGCATGAGTGTTTAATGTAAAGCATATAAAGTGCACAGCCAACTGCAAGATAAGATTTTGTGGCTATATGATCGACACATAAGTTGCACGAAAGAACTTGAAGCATTTAGAAAAAGGTAGAATATAAAAGAACTATGTAGAATCTTCCTTACCATTTCAGTAGATTTCCATTCTAAATGTATATAAGAAGCCCACTGAAATACATGAAAGATCATCTATTTTTTACCCCAATAAATTGTATGAACATAAGTCTCAAAAAGACTATGCTCAAAGTATAAGCTTACTAAAGATTGGGCTTCCTCTCATTAATTGATCAACTGGGCTTCCTGTGATTGTAAGCTTACTTAAAGTATCAAGGTATCTTTCTCAATTACAAATGTTGATACTCGATTTATATCCTTAACTCATGTATACATTCATATGTACTTAAATAAATACATGCAGTTTTCAACAACTGTAGTATTGGTAATATAGAAGATTATCCAGAATTATCAAAGTGACATACTTGGCTGTAGGTTAAAAAATACTTCTTTGTACTCCATCAAAAGTTACTTACTCCAGTGTGAACTATAGTAGAACTATAGTGCTCACATTAGAAAGATCAGCAGGAGAAATAGCCTCTACAAAGGACACATTTATAGTAGAGATAGCAGCAAATACAAAGTTGGAAGAAATGACAGGCTTTGGACTAGTCAACTGGATAAAAGTGAACTAAGTGTGAGTCTAGCAAGCATCTAGGGCTACTTAACATTGTTCAATTGGCCCTACCCAGTACCCATCCTTATTAGGAAATATTACTTTTTATGGCTGCATTTTGGCTGTTGGTTTCTAATCTTGACTGGGTCTGTGGGTGCAGCTTCTTTGGGTGCTTCTTTTTTTACTTAAAAATAGATGTTGAGAATTATTGGTCATCTCCTGTTTTATTTGTATCAATCACTGATCTCTCCCACTTCTTTATGTATTTAGTATATATATGTGTGTGTATGTGAGTGTATAATATTGTAAATTTGAAAATGATACTGGCCTTCCTTGCAACTGAATAAAATATGCTATCAAAACATAATCAATTTGCCTTTTATTATTGGTATTGACTAATGATATTGACAAACTGATATTTTTCTCTCTTTTAACTGGAAAAATTTGTACTTCATGCTTTATTTACCTTTTTCCATGATGATTGTTACTACTCAAGTAGAATGTAGTTCCTCCATACTTTCCATAATGGCCTGAAGTTTTATTTCTTTTTACATCAACTTTAAAAAGACTATGGAATATAAGGAGCTGGATGATTTAAAGAAATAGAAAGGCTTAACAATATTAATAAAATTATTTCCATAAGGGAAGAATGATGGGTGTAGTGCTTGAAAGTCTGATCTTTTGTATTTTTGGTTATTTTTTGAATTAGCATATTGCTGTCAAAAATTTCCTATTGAAACAGGGGCATCTAAAAAGGAAATTTTCTGGTCTTGGGACCAGGAAAAGACTGCACTGACTCTGAAATTTTGTATTGCAATGTTCTAGCTCAAAAAAAGTGTCAAAAAACCAAAAACCAGACTTTCAAGCACTAGGTCTTTCAAGCACCAGGTGTTTAAGCAATAACAGTCTTCATAGAAAAAAGAAGCAGTCCATTTAAAACACAAGTCACAAAAGTAAAAGAAGTAATAATTATATAATATGTATAATCTAATCTAGCCACATAAATAATCATGTGTAGAAAATATGAGTAATTATGAGAAGTTATACAACAAAAAAAGGATGGTGTGTCTTGCAATGCAGACTTTGTAGGTCATACCTCACATTAGCACTAATTCAAAAATAAACACTCAGAATTATTGCTTATTAGAAACCGTTGAGTTGATCTTGGAAAAGAAAAGCGATCAGGTATGGAATTGAACCACAGACCTCCTGCTATATATGCCGGTGCTCTAACCACTGAGCTAACCGATCTTAGATTAGATAGTAGATTTGTAATCCAACATTGCTCATCTCCTGCTTTATTTTATATATAATTGATCCCTCCCACTTCTTTGTATACTTAGCAATTGGCTCTATCCAGTATCTAGCCTTAAAAAGAAACTGCTTCTTGTTTGGTTTAAGATTAACTTTTTTTTTTTTCAGATGAATTCTGGGTTTTACCTTGGCTACCCATAATAGATACTGACATTAATTATTTTCTTTCACTTCTTTTTTTGCTTTTTTCTGTTCTACAAGAAATTGTGATAATCTTTATATTGAGTCTTGGTATGCATATACAAAGAAAGAGTGTATAATCTATATATTCAATTGATGCTTTTTGAATGCATGAAATGTGCCGACAGCATCAGGGAATCAGAGAGAATGAACTTGGACAAAACCCTGTATCCATGCTACCCTGTATTCATCCATATAAAGAAACCATGACCAAGCAGGAATATCAGACTTTAAAACAAGGCCTGTTTTATTTATTTAATAGCAAGGAGCTTTAAATGAAACTTATATAGATTTATCAAGGTATGCACTTAGTGTTAGACATTAAATTAGATTAGATCTGAGTCACATGCTATTTTAGGTACTTGTCATTCACTTTGCCATGAACTTGATGTTTCAATCCTCCAAATGTCAACATTCCATTGTTCAGCTTGCACTTTGTTTTTATTGCACAAAAATAAAAATGTAACTTTGAATTCTAAAGCATTGTTCTGCATACTAACATTGACTTGAAACTTTTAGAGACTGCCTGAAAATATGTTACTTTTTGCAATCTTCTATGTGTACATTAGTAATTTATATGCTCCAAATTTCTTTCTTTCTTTCTTTGCTAACCATCTTTTAGGTGGTTATTCTTCTGTGTGTTTACTACCACTCTATCACTGATGCACACAATTGACATAAAATCTACAATCATAATAGACAATGAGGTAAACAAGGCAAGATCAAAAGCATAAATTTAATCAAAGACATCACTGGCTGTTTTGATAGAGCTTACAACTCCTGTTAAGCCAGCTCTGTAAGCCTTCTGTAGGATATCATAGCTGGTCTTAGGGCTATGATACATAGTAGCCTAGTTGAAGTATACAAGGCTTCCTTTAACTTTATTGTCTTTATTGCCTAGAGGGCACAAGTTTTCTGGTGTCAGCCTCTCTCTATTTGTAAGAATAAATATGAAATCTAGAAAAGCAATAGCTATTAGATATTACTTAACTCTGCATAATCCACCTATTCTTATTCACAATTGGCCTATTAGTGTTGTAGAGATGTCAGAAGGAAATTTGCATAAATAAAGGTTTGACAGTAGATATAGGGTTGGCTTTAATGAGAGCAGATGAGCAGGTGGTGGGCCTCCTGACTTTAGACCTTTATTACTTATTTATTTTCTGCTATATGTTATTTTGCAACTGTACTACTGTAGCACACCTTGCAAACATTGAGCTCCCATAAAAGACAGATCAGATAACAGAATAGACAGATAAGATTATGAACTTACAGTGCATAAGGAAGAATCACTGTTGTTTTACCCACTTTGACTGAGGAAATGAGTATGTTAGTGGCTAAGCATATAACATTATCACCACATGGTGACTGACTAACATCAAGGTGACAAGGACTAGGCCTAGTAATATTTTTATCCCAGATCAGTCATATAAGATAGCAGGAATAGAACTTACAATGTCTGTTTATCAATATTGTGGTGGTGCTGGCAGCCTGTGGCTGTACTGGCAGGATGGCGCTGGTGGAGTCTGAACCTCATAGACTACATTCTGATGTCATAGCTAGCTTTTCTGCATCCAATGCTATTGGTGTAAACAGACATGACACTCTTTCTCTATTTCTATTTCTTACTATTTTTACTTCACTATCTGTTACTTGCTCACATCCTATGTTCTGTAGCTGTCTATGTCAATTACACACTTTGGACCACTTGTTCACATTACTAAGACTGGTTTCACTAGCACACCATTATGTGCAGAACTTCCTGTGCACAGATATCTTTGTAGTATATTTTCACTAGACCTTAGCCTTTACACATCTCCATGTCTGTCTGAGGTCAGTAATATTATACTCTACTCATATTACATGTAGACTAATGTTTTTCTATAGTTATTTACCTGTGCATGTAACTTTAGATGAAATACAGTTGTTACATATCTCAGTGTCTGTCTAAGTTACTTACCTGTGCATGTAACTTTAAATCCATCTGGGTTTTCCTTCTCATATCCACCTGCTGTGACTCCCTCTGAGTCTTCTCCAGACTCGCCTCCTCCAATGTTCATCAGGCTCTGTATTGTACAGCAGAAACAGTGGAGGTTGTGGTTGATGAGAAAAAGCAGTCAGAAAAAATTCAGTGTTGATTTGTAAATGTGGTCACATATATCAGAGTCTCAATAAACTGCAAAGCATTCTTGTTTATCTTGAAGAAATGTTTTTGAGTATCACACTGGTGCTTCTTCTCACTTATACTTTTGGAGATTGCTTGAGCAAAACTCTTGCAAAACTCGCTTCTCAGACTATTTTGTGCTTGTACCTTAAAGTGCCAAGGTAATTAACTGAGCCAGGCCCACATCTAACCTCTAGTACAAGTCTTAAAAATTAATGTGAGCAGAAAGTGTAGAAAGATGAAGTCAGTATGAAGATGCAGGGTCTGGTCTGTCAAACAGAATAAATAGAAGAGGGGTGTAAAAAGCAATAAAAAGTGATTGTTACCAAGACAGACTGATGGTGCCCACATATGCATGGAAAGTAGAAATAGCCTTATTTCTAATAAAATAAGAATAATAGAGAATATCATAATCCTCTCTAGGTGAAAGTTTTATATACCAAGATAGAAATGACAGATTACTTGAAGTTGCATACAATTCTCAGGTTGATGGGCTACAATTAATCTAGAGCCTCTGGTATAATTTATTTTTCTTTTTGCTCTTTTTCTTCTGTCATTGTATAGCCTCTCTCTCTATCATAACTCCTACTTTCTCCACCATCACATTTCATATAGAACCGAGGATTAAAGGTCTCTCAACTGCATCTTATTGGATCCACAGTCATTGCATGCTACAATCCATCACAGGTCTTAATCCAGGGGAAAAAAAAAAACTAGTAAATAATATATTTGAATCAAATTGAACTGCACAATAATGGACATATCCAGAAAAGTGGTGCTTTTTTAGATACCAAGATAGCTTGTCTGTCCTGCTATTTTTGAGCATCCTACTCAAGTTTCAGTTTGTGATCTGCTGCAGAATAAACACCACCACTGTATCAGCAGCATTGCACCAACCTAGCTTCCTAGTAATGTACTGGACTGCAACAGCTTGAACATTCATGAGTAAAGCAGAATCAAGAAATTTTCTTTATCAATTATACCAGCTTCAAGAAAGAGGCATATTATTTAGGCTTAGCAATATGCTGCTAAAGGTTTTCACCAGTTTTTGTGTAAATGCCATAAAGTATATAAGGAGCATGTCTGCCATCTGGCATTGCAGACACTAGTTTTGTAAGCAAAGAGTCAAATTAATGGCTTTGAGACACCAGAGTGGGTAAAGGACCTCCTTGTGAACTTTGGCTAGAGAAAATCTCATTGTAATTAGGGACATAGTTGGGCAAGTCAGTCTTGATATCAATCTGACCCATGATCTCTGCTATAAAGTTGACTGGAAAAATGCTGATCCAGCTGATAATTGACTTTGGTCCTTCAACTTTAAAGACATTAATCAAAATTTCAACCAGAAATTCCTTTATGTATATCATGCAACCCACAAAGTCTGTGAATGAGATATTCAATGGCTTGATTAATGAAAGTTCTGTAATGAGGGTACAAAAAAAGTGAGGTAAGGGTGAAGATGACAATGAGGCCTGCTGCTTCTTAGGATCAGTCTGCAGCAAAGGAGCTTGCAGTCCATGCTAGTATGCAGCTTATGCTAATGCACAAGCTGTAAAGGTTCATTCTCTGAAGTAGGCTGAGTGCAACTGTAGAAGAGCTTTTTCCTCCTTGCTCTGGAGGTGCTAAACTGAGTAGCAGCATCTAATGCTCACTCACTAGGTGGCCTTAGTAACATGAATTGCAAATAATGAGGATGGTGTTTTGACAAGGATCAAGTGCCTCCTCCAATTAACCCTTGGTGATGTAGACTTTACCAGTTATCTTGTTGATATACATGATAATAAGAAATTAAAACTCACCATGTACAACACCATCATGCTCTATCAAGAGAAGAACCAGCATTTCACCAGGCTTTACTTTGTGCACCATCTCCTCAAACAAAAAAAGGCACCTTGCAGTAAAATAGCTGGCTGAGATTTTAGGGTCAAGAAGTAATGAAGAGAGGAAGCCAAAGCTGATTGCATCCTATCTCTTCATAGATGACAAAACCATCAGAAAACAAGTGGTTAATAAGCCAGATAGGTAGCCATATTGATCACTCACTTTAGTATTCTTTTATATAGAAAATTAAAAACTGCCATGCTGCAAAGTCAGCTGTCATCCAGCCCAATTCTACTATAGAAAGGTCTGTGATGATGCCCAGAATGCCAAAGGTGTGGATGGCTTTCATTTATGGAGGTGACAAGATCTCAAATGCCTCAAATATGTATCGTGCATAGCCGATGGCCATTCTATGCTTGATGTAGAAGCTGCGCAACACAATCATCAAGACACCATTGGAGGCCGCAACACTATGAGTTATATGTTAGAATTTCATAATGGTGAATGGTATGAAATCACTAACCTCTCCTTGATGCAATCCACTTTTGAATCCAATGGGTAGTATTGAGAGCAAATGCTCAAAAAGCACTCACCACTCGCTGTCATAGCAAGTCATATAGTGTGAAAATATGGCAAATGCTGGCAAGAGTAGCAAATCAGAAAAGGCATAAATCCAAGATAAATTGAATTTACATGACTTACTAGTGTTAACATAGTATGTATTTCAAATGTAAATTACACTTCATATGCCCAAAGAAAGCAAGAGAGCAGC